TGCCCCTAGACTGTTCCCCCCGGCTTCCGTAATTTTGTCTCCTGATTGTGCCGAAATTTGTGGAAGACGAGCACCTCTATGATCTTGGCTTGTAACAACTGATGGGCCTTATCATAGTCCGCGTTACAAACAGAGTCCTTTGTATTGATTACGGCGTAGAGCGAGCTCGCAGGCTCATAAGAACCGTAGATAAATGGAGACTAGGCCTAGGAAGCTTTTTTTACTCATTGGCCGTCAAGGGGTGAACTGGATCCTCACTAGTTGGGATATGAAGAAATTACAGTAGTCGTGGTTGTGTGGCGTAGAGATACTACTTTTTAGGGCGCGAAAGTTTGTGCATTGGACATAAACGGAAGCCGCTGAAAATGATGGCCATCGGTCTTTCTTAAAGGTGAGTCATGTGGGTTTCGAAATCGGATGAGTAGACTATGATATCCTCGAGATAGAGGAGAACCACCTGGTACTTGGGAGCGCCAAACAATTTGTCCATCAGTCTTTAAAACGTCGTAAGTGCATCAGCGAGATCGAATGGTACACGCTTGCACTAGTAGAGCCTTCCTGGCATCCAGAGAGTCGTCTTCTCCTGCTCGATGTGTAAATGCTGATCTGGCAAAACCGGCCAGTCAGGTCCAGAATGCTCAAGTAGCGAACGCTAGCAAGGGCATCGATAGTATCAACTGTAAGAGTAGCTGGAGGTATACGCATTGCTTCGTGCTGGAGTTCAACCTGTGGTAACTGACGTAGAAACGTACCATATCTTCTTTTTTCTTCACCAAAGCTACTGAAAAAGACAACGGGTTGAATATGGTTTGATGATGCCGTTAAGTATTATTGCTTCAACCTTATCCTCTATGATTTACCTTTCCATGGGTGCAACCCCCCGCAGCTGGCATTGGATCGGAAATGAATCGCCGGTTGGGATCATGTGCTGAGCAAGATAGGTATGGTTGAACCTGTCTAGCTAACGAAAGACATGGCGGCATTAAACCACGAGAAGCTTCATAAGGGTGCTGTGTTGCACTGCTGAAAACACCGTCCCTAGTCTGAAAGACCCGCCATCACCAAGGGTGCAAAAGAAACTCTGTGCTAGTACCAGCTCCGTAAATCTCTTCAGGCTCCCCATACTTACCTACGGCGGTGCGATCTTCTGCCGTAATGATTAGGTTATTTTCTATGCCGTAGGCTATTTTCTAAGTTCGCAAGCAACACCTGACACTGGTGCTCACAATGTTATACGAGGGACGTACACGAACCCCTTGCGAACAGTTTAGGACTGCGTCCAGTTGCAGTACGATGCCAGAATAGTTTGTTTGGACTGATACCCATATTGCTGTTTCGGGTAGTATAATGTACCCATAACGGCCGTACATTAGTGATTATAAGAAAGGTACTTCTGACTTAAAAGACGGTAGTTGTAACTAAGACCTTTTCGTCAAAAATGGTTTGCCCAAGATTAGGTTCTTCGCGAGATTGTTGAAGATGAGGAACAACTCCCGCATCCTGTCGTCAACCTTAACGTTAGTTAACCCCAGAATCCCCAATAGAGCACCCTAAGCATTGTATTGTTACGGGCTCTGAGAACCCTGCAACGTCCAGCGAGCACAAATCATCCACCAACCGTGGGAAGATTGCTTTTACATTAGTCCCAGTGTTATGACCACCTTCTTATAAGGGAGTTAAACTCCAAGCACGACCGTATCATCGGTGGTTCCGTTTATGCAACTTACGCTTCAATGGAGACAAGCTTCGCGCGTTGACATGTAAAGTGAACCTGTTCTCCGTAGCATTGAGGCTTTTAGGACTCGTTGCTGTGCGTTAAACGGGCCTTCCCTGCTGTGGGGCGTCCGTCATGAGTCACGAAGTCGAATCTACTTTTGCCCAGCGTTTCTAAGCCACGAGAGCGCTTGGAAGCTTCGCCGAAGTAATCTCGGTGACAACCACAAAATTACTGCACGCTTATTTGATGTGCCCTAAAAAAACCTTGGAGGCGTGCGATAGCCCTAATCGGTTCATCAAGAAACGTCTCTCCAGAACTAAGGTATAAAAACATTTCTCTGTCGTCTCCTGCAGTCATTGCATTCTGATGGACCGGAAACCGCCTCTTCTGGTAATATCTCAAACAGCTTCGTCCTGAATTTTGCCCACACTACTCTGCTCGCTTCGAACGCCGCCTGCTCCATGATCGTCCTGAACCACAGCTTTGTTCACTCAGAAGGCGACCCGAAGCTTACTCTTAGGAGGTGGTGAAAGGTCTGAATTGGCCATAAGTAACGGATTCTAAGTGCATCATTACATTTGGCGGGTGGCTTGTAGTCCTAGCTGCGGCAAGTCAAGTAGGGCTGCATTAGTAATGCCCGCAAACAGGTGGACGACAAGAACCTCAAACGTGAGGCTTGCTTCTGTTGCATTCTCATCGCCTTCATCCAGGCATCTGCCACGAGCCAGTCGACGTCGAACATTTTTGCTCATCTGGCTTTGCTTGTTATCCGGGTTTTGATCCGCTGTCACTGTTACCAAACTCTGCGAACAACAGAGCTGCTACTGACGAAGTACAGTTTATTCGCTCTTATACAGTCCACGTAGAAAGTTCAACATGGCAGATGTTTGACGCGTGCATCTCGACAACATGTACGGTGTACGTCCATGTCGGAGACGTATATTTAAAAAGTTGTCACCCGCCAAAGGAGCGCAACAGCGTCTATACAATTTCAGCAGCGCCACCTTTTAGCCACAGGTTTGCATGTTTATTGGTATCAATATGAGCGTTGTTTATGATGACAATGCTGGTCGACGCTGACGATGGCTGGTGGCGAAGATAATATTGGCTATTCGATCCGAAACTACCCCATGTAGTATATATATATATATACACATATAGAACGAACGACGGGACTAGCGTTTGTTCCTACACAAAGGGGTGACACAGTTTTAAAGGAAAGAAGCAGAACAGACAACTGTCGTTATTAAAAAACAAAAAGAAACACGCGTCTCATACACGAATTTCCCAGATCAGAGAAAATGCGAAGTTGTTCTAGAAATGTGCCAAACCTTTGTTTGGCAACCGGCATTCAGTGGCATGCATCAGACAACTGGTAAATTGCTGGAGGCAACTTACCCAGATTCGAAAAATGAAGTTGTCTTAGATAATAAAAGATGCATCCTTTGTATGGCTTAAATAATAATTTATTTGTTGCCTAAGTTTCCGTATTTGCTACGCTAATACTTACAATTTCCAAATGTCTATGAGTCTTTAAGTACAAGTAACGAGGAGTACAAAGATGCAACTAAGAAGTTAATATGCGAAGGGAAAGCGCTGTAGATGTTCTTAATATATAAATATAAAAGTTTGTCCGACGCATGTATGCGCGTGCGGTTTCCTTTAACACGTTCTCATTGTATGCGGTTCAGTGCGTGCTGTGCGTCTGGTGCAAACAAGGAAGGTTATTCTGCACGATAGTACTAGATTAGGCTAACGACTCGTCGTGTCGAAACATACACGTACGTACGGCAGAAAAGCTATCTGAAGCAAGCATGAATCCATCTCAGATTTTCCTTCTGCCTTTTACGTTTATTTTTCGTTCTGCCCTTTTTATTCGCAAGGAAAAAGACGCCTGATCGAATTATATACTCCGCATATAGAGTGTTACGCAAGAGGAACGAGACGAGACAAAGGATCGTAACCTATCCTATGTATATGATTGAGAAGCTTGTTTCACTATACGACCCGGGTAGAGCGGATGGGAAAGAGCAGGTAGGAGACAGTGTCATTATGTATTTCTTTCATTGCTGTTAAAGAAAATGCGATACAGAGAGATATAGAAACACATGATCTAAATTCCGGCAACAGGCTTGCATCAATTATGCCGTCCATTGACGGAATAATAGCACGGCTTTCCCTACTTATAGTGGTCGTATAGCAGACCGTTACACGTCAGTATTGCTACTGCTGCCGCCGTTTGGTGGCTGGTGATGTACCTCACTTTACTGGCGGTGGGCACTGAATTAATTTCACTATTGCACTGTGCACACAGGAACAAAGGGAAACAGGTCAAGCTAGTTTCTCCGAGTAAATTTGGTGCAGACCTAGGTGGTCAAAAAAATAATGCCGGTGAGGGATGGCATCCGTAACCGCGGTTTGCCCTTATGGTTCATAGTGAAACCAGTCAAGCGGTGGACTGTAGCAAGACCAAGCTTAGAGAAACAGAGATCGTAACCATGTTAGATTAGGGAGACGACATCGTGCTTGAATCATGGCTTGAGTGCCTGTACGTCAGTAGTACGTTATCTGGCGAATGAGATCGTTAAAAATAGGCTACAATTTATATCGAGCACTTGGCTCTAACTTAGGTGCATTTTCGTTACTATGTCCCATAGTTGTATTGACTATTCGTTTATAGAGGACTGCATATAGGTGTCTGTCATAATGCATCTCTATATATTAATGCCTCATATTTATTTGAGACAGGAATTTATAAAGCGGAAATGTTTTTTGCACTGTTCTACTGGCATAGCAATAAATGGACTGCAGATTTGGCAGTAGTAAAAAAGATGGTAAAAAGGTAAGGTGGAACCTTACCAGCCTAACCTGTATATATTCTGCTAATAGATATAGTTGATCAGTTTTTCTTACTGGAGTCACTCAAAAATACTAATGAACTTTTTCAGTTCTGACTATGGTTCACTGCCTATAGCGGTGTCTATACCACCGCTGTCTAGCCATTCAGTGAACGCGTCCGAGACCCATCAGAAGTTTTTCTAGTGCGAGGCGTTTTCTACTAATTCACGGACGACATTTCTGGGCGCCTTTACGTAGTGACCATCCCACCGCTGTGTCCCGGTTGTGTGCGTTACTTCTTGAAGTGACCTACATCAGAAGGTAACATTCAGCCGATGTCCCAGGCAATATTAGTAGATTGCGATTCTACGAGTCAATTTCGATTTTGTCGCTTTTCGTCTTCTGCCGGTGAAGTGCGATGGGATGCGAGAAAGTAATGTAAGCAATGGGAGGTTTTACCAGCGGACGGCTAGATGATGACGGCTATATCCCAATGCCCTCTACCCGGCCTGGCTTTGCTGCGCTGTGGCAACTACAGCAGGAGCAAATCCCGGGGAGCAGGTGAGCGGACCGTCTGAGAGAAGAAAACTGGGTCGTCTTCCTTCAAGACGGCCCAGGCCGGCCCGCAGGACTCGACCAATATCTTCGCTGCTGCTACAGACGCGCAAGCGGCATCAAATTTCCTCTTGGACGGACATCCCTAGATCCTTCGCCTCGCACCTTCCTGCAGCTAACTCGCAACTGCCCCAACTACTACGAACCAACCATCCTCGATTCCATCGCATCCCAACAGGACCGTCATCCCGTTAGACCCGTACGCTTCTCAACGTCCTTCCTTTCTCGTTGGCCAGGTTGACTAGACCAGTTCCTTCTTTTCGTTCGTAACGAAGAGCTCGTGACGGCTAGGAGTCCTTTTCATCTGCCGCTGCTGTGGGTAGCCAATCCCCTCATCCTCAATGACGCCTCCGCTTCCTAGCAGCTCTCGGGGAAGAAACTCCTCGCCTTCTGTCTATTCGTTTGTCCGTCTTTTAGCCCGAGCGTCGTCGCCGTTGGTCTGTGCGTCTACCTTATCCCCTGTCACCTCGTCGCTGCCCCTGTCTATCTACTTTGCTCCATACCTCGAAGTAGGACGCGTAGTCCCGATCTGGTGGCGACGAACGAGGCTCAGGTTAACCGTCAGCGGACAACTAGCCCACCTCAACGCGACCAGTCTCAATTTCCCCTATCTAATACGCAAACAGAGATGGCAACTTTTCTGCGTCTTCAAAGAGGTCGGGCTCGTCGTCATTCTAATATTAACGGACAAACAAGAAGTAGTCGAAAAGGCGGAATGGCCATCGTATAGTGTGTCACGAATACTGCCTAAGAACAATAACGCAAAATGGTCCGAGGGGGAGGATACCTGCAGGGGCTGAGGGCAAAAGAATAGTATTGAAGAAAGCAAGGAAGTTGACAGACGAAGGACGCTGGGAATGGCAAGTAGAAGACGACGCAGAAGCTAGCGGCGTATCGTCAAAAAAGAGACTCGAAAAAAAACAGGACATCACCTAGCTAGCTAGGCTTTTATTGATCCGGTAGCTTGGATCCTATTTTCAACTTTCTTTCCATAGCAGTAGTTGTCGTGGTGTTGAAAGCAGCAATTCTTACAATGGCCTGGTGGAACACGACGGATTGATTGAGTCGTAATCGCGCACTTGACAGGAAAGGGTCTATTTTACACCCTATCTGCCATTTTCCTGTTGCCCTCTTGACGACCAGTTAGATGGACGTATAGAAAATGCCTGTGTCGACCTAGCTGAGGTAGATGTTCAGCACGTTTGCCAAATTGCCATTTACCCGTCATTGTTGCTGATAAAACTAAAGCGGCGGGAAGAGAACTGTAAGAAAGAACAGGGAGCTGTTAAAAGAACAACAACAAGGTCCATCTACGGGAGAATGAGAGATTAACAAAGAACACAAAGTTTGCGAGCGGCTCTTTTTACGTTGGTAGGCCAGAAAGCGTCGATTAGAAAAAATATTGTCTATTGTAGAGCCATTGTGTTTTGTGCAAATGAAAAGAACCGTTTGTGGTGGAGCTAGACCATGGTTGCGGCTGCCAAACAACCGTAATGGTGGAAAAAAGGACGTACATTACACGAATCGTAGTAAATCCGAGGCTATGCAGCAAAAGTCCTCTACCATTACTACCACGAGAACTAGTGCCTGTCGGTAGCAAACAACATACTGAATCTACCTGCTTGGATTTCGCTGCACCTGCTACCACCAGCGAGACCACTTCCGTCCCGGTCATACAATGGCGACATCTGCCACAGTAGAGATGATACAGCGAGTCAGTCGGCGAGAGTTAGATAAAAAAAAAAAACATTACGCAGTTGTTACGTGTCTGTGGAACGGTACAGTCGATCTAAGAAAACGTGTAACAGAGCGAAAGAAACGACGTCAGTTACGGTGAAGCTAGACGTTAAGGAAAGCGATGGCGATCCCCCTTGCCGTGACGATGTGAGGAACATGATACGTAAAAGAACGAGCTTGATTTGATAGCAAGAGTTAGCCCCTCTCACGAAGGTGAGACCCTGCAAAAACGGAGCAAAAGCTTCCCGATTCCAGCCACGACTTCGCCATCGGTCTGTTTAAGTGTTTTTGTTTTACCTGTTTAGTAAAGTACTTGTAATGCGAAGCCAAAAACAATGAAAGCGTAATGAAGTATGAACTGAGTGCACGACAGAGAACACATGTGCCAGACGTTTTGAGACAAATAACTTGTGCTCAGACAGCCCGCAGACTTCAGTGGTATCGGTGTTTCTGGATTACTTTGACAATGCGCGAGTAGCAGCTGGCTTTCTGTTAGTTCACAGGCGTAGAAGTAACACAACTGTTGCCTCAACATATATAATACATTGTTCGCGTACGATGTTGGCTACCGTATATAGGCAGGTCTCCCTACTGTGCTGTGTTCTACATATGGACTAGCGTTATTCAGCCAGATACAGTAAGGTAAGCTGCAGACTGCAGGCAGACAGGGGCGAGACCAGTCTTAGATGCGCCGCTTGGAGCTGCGCGTACGGAATAGGTGGAGGCAGGTGCAGCAGGACACCCTCGTTACGGACGCTCTAGGGATGCGAACCTGCTTTCGAGTTCGTTGCTTCGTCCTGTTTTGTACATTGCCTCTCTTTCGGTTGACATGGCAAGACAAATGATGGCTAGATTTAGAGAACACCAGCGCCGCAGCAGTCCACGGTCGTTAGACGCTGACGAGAAGATGTAGCAGAGGAGAACCCGAAGAAGATTGGCGGTGTAGTGGCTGCAGTTAAGAAAGCAGGGACGGACATCGGGACTTTTTCTGACGGTATAGTGTAGAGGCCGACTTGGGGCCTAAGGCAGGAAACCCAGATCGCGAAAATAGACAGGTAGAACCATCGGAAATGTGAAGCACTACGGACCCCTAGCGAACAACAATATCCCGAAGCCGCCAATTCGGAAAAGGGAAACAGAAGAAGCGACGCTAACATCGACAGCAGCATAGTCGTCGCTGGACACTTTAGGGAGAGAACGTGGAAGGTAGTCGAGCCAACTCACGGAGGTTCCCCATGGAATCCCTTACCTCCGCATCCCACCCCAATGCAATGGTGAGTGAGCGAAGCAGTACGAACTGTGTAGCTAGCGATATAAGAGCCGCCAGCCTGCCTCCAGCTTCTGTTCTTGTTAGCTATACGGCCGATCGCTTGGTCGACTTTAGCTAGAGTTAGACACGACAAGAGGAGAACGATAGGACACTCCCAGAGTAGGCAACGACTAGGACAGCAAGCGGGGCCGGGAGGAAAGGATAGGTAGGTAGACCAACCCAGGGGGACACTCTAGGTGTGTCGTTCTTTTCCCGATGGCCATAGTTGCTGCTTCTGTTGGCGTTCTCTGCTTTTAGCTGGATAACATACCACAGAGGACAGCTCGAGAAGACATCCTCATCCGTACCTTTGGGACCACTTGGCCGTTCTGAATTTCCTCCTGCTGCAGTCCGCCATAGCTATAGCCTCATAGGTTCTCGCGGCTTCGTACTCTCGCGACCACTCACCGAGTAGGTTGACTGGCTAGCTATCTGAACTGGGAAGGTGAGGGGGCAACCGGATCCCGCCGAACGGACAGGTCCGAAATACAGGCGCCAGCTACTACAGTGAGAGCAATAGTCCAGGGAGAGAAAGAGTTTCATGAAGTAGCAGAACACTACTCTAGTACCGGGCCAGAGAGAGGCCCAGCAGAGGATAGCACCTTGCCGTCACTTTTTCTGCCGTGGCTGTCGGAACTATTGCGGCAGGTTTACTAACCTGCTGCTACTCGCCATTGCTACTAGTGGTAGGTCATTGACGTCGAGGACGGTAGAGTCACTTGACTCCGGCTCGCTATTCGACACTTTGGTGTGTCCTATTCTTCAAGCCTGTCACACAATTCTTCAGGTCTGCTACACTCTGAACTTTTTTGTTGATGCTGCCTTAGGTAAGGAAAAGAGCAACTGACGTGTTCGATGGTAAAATCATGTCTGCAGAGTACCATTCGTACACGTAAAATGTTGGGGTAATATTCTAGCCTCACGGAATCGCTTGCTCGCTTAATGACTAAAAGCAAATGGTATTCCATAAAAATGATAATATACGTTTCCATATGGAGTCACGTGGCAACTATAACAGGTGGAGAAACAACAGAAATTCTTAAAACAGCTAACTTGTAAATTAAGAACATTCTAAAAAACATTCTGTGCTTATAAGTTCTGCAAATAGTCTATTTGTGGAAATCCTATCTATTGGAAGTATGTGAGCGACTACCAACAAAATTAACAAAAAATCGACAAAAACAAATGACAGCCTGTTAAAAATAAATACTTATGAAACATATTTAGCCCAAAGGGACGTAAGTAGACGTTCTTCAACAAATATCCGCTTTTATAAGAAATACACATAACTTGCAATTTAACAATTTGCGTACTTTAATAAACAGACATATATATATATATATATATATATATATATATATATACAAAGCGGTATTTGTCTATATATGCCGATGAAGCAAATTGGCTTGTCAACACATAGTCAATAGGAGTCCATCATAAACAAAATATATATGTCTATATATATCGATAACAAAATTCTGCCCGAAAGGGTTTTAGAGCCAATTGTATTCAAAGCTAATAGTAAACCGCTCCGCAGAGAAATATATTATGATTATTTTCCAACTCGTATAATTTTAGAATCTTAATTAGTAAAATCACTTCCCAAAAGAAGCATTTCTGTGAGAAAGTGGACTCGAGTTTCTTTATGGGGCCTTTTTTTTAGCAATATCTTTCGAATTAAGCCGACTCTTTTCTCGTGAGCATTCGTTTCTCACCATTTTTGTAAATAGTACATTCCCTAACGCATGGCACTTTAAAAGACAACAAAATTTACCTCCAAAAACGAAAAAATATTTCCTTCGATGGTAATGCTCTCTTAAGTTGATTTCGGCGCTCTTTACCTACACTCGCATAATTTTTTTCTCTCTTTTGAATTCCCCAGCCTATCTATCAGCTTACCCAAATAATATTTTCAGTGCATCAAGCAACACCTTGCACACAACGATTTACATATCATCGCAATTCTAAATTGCACAGACACCCGTCTATGTAGATCCGCTATTCAAAGCATTGACCACTAGGCCTAACAATGCGACAATGTCGTCCATGTCTAGTTAATAACATTGCGCTGATTCGGTGTTTTTCTCCAATATTTCATTGGACTAAAATCATAGTGTTTAGCTTGTAAATCAATGAAAAAACAGTGTCATTGTAAAAACTACACTATTAATTTTTTTAATCTATTTGAATATTAGTGTCCACATTCAATTTATCGGCGAGACAAGAACGCCGACACCGCAGGCGTATGTACCAGATCCTGCCGAAAGGCCAGCGAAAGCTGTGGATGGTGTTTCAGACTTTCCCTTCATTGAGCTCGGACAACCGTCCCGGGAACCGTCGTGGGTGGACGTGACGGGCGGACAGCTCAGGAGAGGTAAGTGTCCTCTTACAAAAAAAGGTGTCCCTTGGGCTACCCCTGAGTCTGCTGGCTGGCTGCTGTCCGCCGCCAGTTGGAGGCGCTAGTGTGGGACGCTTAGCGCCACCACTGCAGTCATTTTGGCTCAAATATCGCCCGTTGAGGTGCTGTGCTCGAGTCGACTCGGCGTTGCTTGTCATCTTCATGATCTGTTTTCCTCCTGAAGCTCTCGATGAGAAGGAGAATCCGGCCGTGTCATATACCTACTAGTCACTGCTCCTGAATACAATAGACATAATAGCATGGATCATAGATCGCCACGTGTATGTATAAACAGAGCTTCGTTTTCAAAGTTTTCATATCGCAATGATGATAAAAGTCAATTTATATATGTGTATAGTTGACTAGATAAATAGCCGGCGGTAGCGATAGCTGTAAGCTACTTAAGTTCTACTTGCATTATAGGTAGATAAGCTGCGCGCCGTGTAGAGGGCGCTTTGTCTCTTCGTGTTTCTGTATGATTGAAAAATAGCAGATTGAAAGTTGAAGTTGCTAAAACAACTCGTATTTAACATGGGACGGTAAGCTGAATGGCCATAAATAAACTATCTACTTGACATAAAAGATGATTTAAGATAACGACATATGTATTTCTAGGTAGTTTTGACGTATACGGTTTAAACAAAGTATACAAACGACTACCTACATCTGTCATCGTCCTATTCTCTCTTATTAAAAAAATATTCTTTTTTTTTTTTGCAAAGATTCTATTGTAGTTAGTCCTGTGATGACAATGACATGTTACCTGTTATCTTCTGGTTACAGCGTCTTTTAGCGTACGCCTATAGCTTGCTCCATGGTATGTGGAACGGCGCGAATTTTTGTGAGTATTAAATTTTGATTGATTCTTTTTGAACTGCAAAGTTTTTCAGGGAAACTGTAAAATCCATAATATAACATCGTTACTTTGGAAGAATACCGCGCAGATACTAAAAGAAAATTGATGAAAGCTAATGTTCGACTCTATGCCGTTATCCTATACATTAGTAAACGGACTAACTTGGCATGTTAAGCTGCCCACATCCAAATGACACGGTTATATACTGTGGGCCCGTACGAATTTAGAAAACCTGCTATTATAATAGTATAGGTAATATATAGAAAATTAATTTCTAAAATTTTTTATTTTTCGAAAATTAGCTATTGCACTAGGTCGACATAGAAGTGCACCTTTCTCCCTTACAGAGGCGCCCAAATGTATATGTACCGAGAGTTCATAGAGCAATTTAGCCCTAATTTATCATTATTGAAAATCCTCATTATGCATATTGACGAAATCAATCCTTTCTGGGTCCTCTTTCATGTTCCTTTAATTATTGGGGATAACAGTTAAAGGGGTGCGTGTGTAGACTGGAGCTGTTGTCGAAACCTCTTTATTTGGGTTTTTAATTTATGGAAGAAGTGGTATGGACGCATACAGTACGCTGTAATTTTCGTACGAAAAGCAGACATTTTTCCGGAACCAAAACTTCCACCAAAAGCTTATTCCACAAGAGAGGTGTTGACGGTTTCAAGCGTATTACGTAAGCGTAAAAAAAATTATTATGAGATTCACGCTGGTCAAAACTTACTGCGCGTTAACAGTGACATTACAAGTTTGAGTCATTTGAAAATAAAAGTAACTGCTTCAGTCATAAATAAAAGAAGCATAGCACAGGCCACAGTTCCGATACTGAAACCGCTCATAACAATTACTTGAATTGATTAAGTAAACCCTGAATACCGGAGTTATCCTATCTAGATTTTTTAAGTGACTCCAATTTAACATTTTGTAATGTTTCCTGTATTACATATAGCTAGGTTCCTATTGAATGATTTCATTGGATATTAGTCAATTCAACGTGAAGTAAGAGACAATACCCATGAGACGCATGCAAATTGAAACACCCTCAAACCCATCTCTCGCGGAGTTCTTTGGCTCTTTGCATGCTAATACTGCCCACCCTTCGGTCGTTTTAAAATGATATAACCATTGTTTTAGAAAGCACACTGCGATATGTGATATTTCCTGAACTCTAGTACCCAACATGATACCAAGCTGACGACGGTAGGTGTGGAAGATCAGCTCTTGGCAGGCGGAGTCTCCCTATCCTGGCCCTAGTTCTGTGGCCCTTATGCAGGTGGGTTTTAACCTGTGTCGATGCGGGGCGTCCAGGTAGGGCAGGTAGTAGAGCGGGGCCGCCCTCTGGCTTAGGTACGAGAGAGGCGGGCCCCTAGCCACCGCTGCCGCTATCGTACTTCCGTTGGGCTCCGCACCGGCTGCAGGTGTGCTCCATACAGGTGACTAGCCTCCAGGTAAGATAGTCTTCTCCTAGAGCAACTGCCTCTGCTCATGCCTGAGTGGGAGCTGAACGCGCCCGAATAACCTTTCGTGCTGCTCTGAGCTCCAGGAGCACCAATCGGAGCTCGCCACAGGTGAACCTGCCGCTCCGAGAGCCAATCGTTGGGCCAATAGCGGCGTAAGGTGCGCAGAGCTAAGGGCCCATAGGCTAGCGTGCGCAAGGCCTCGCGCAGGTACAAACGCGGAGCAGCAGGCTGTGTCGGAGCTGGAGCTGCTCGGGAAGCTTGATAGCAGTTCTAATCTACCAAGGCCGCTACCTCCCTGAGCTCCACTTGTGCTAAAATCTGAACTGGTGGAGCCGCGGAGTGAGCGCCTCTCTTGCCACCTTTGGCAAGAGTAGTACGTATTCAATGTGCGGCAACCTCTGCTAGGGACGAAATCTCTACCTTCTCTGTGGAGCTCAGTCGTCTGTGTCTTCCTGGACCGGCTCCCTGTTATCAAGTTATACAGCGCAGCAGCCAATACGGTTCGTTGTGGGGTGCCCCCGTGGTAAGTACGCTTCGAATACAGGTGGAACAGAGATAGTTCCGATGTAGGGAGGGTTACGCTTTCACCCTCATGTAGGTAGGGTGAAGCTGAGCCGAATTAAAGGCAGCCAGCATCGGAGCTAGGTACTCTAATGACTAGGGACCATCCGTTTATTTGTACGAAGCGGAGCTATCATTACCACACAACAACCGTCACAATAGCTGGTGTATACGCGTATGTATGTGTGCGTTATACTGCATAAGTGCATGTGTTCGTTGAATTCAGCTGACATCCAAGAGTTTGGGTTTTTTTTTGGAGGAACGGCCTACTGTTTTGTGCAAGAAATAGGCGGGTGAATGCTTGCTTTCGTTATACAAAAAGCTAGATATGCTCGCAAGCTACAGTGGGACATCGATGTAGCGCTAGGATCGAACGAATTTATCGGAAATTCGTCCGACGATTCGTTTGATGAGGCACTGATATGATATCGATCGTAGGGCTGTCAAAATAGAACCAAAGATGTATCTCCACACACACCAACGGGCAGAATCGAATTTACCGCGTCAGCTCGTTATTTGTTACTGCTTAACATTTATTTGTTTAGGAGCATGGCACTGATAAGTAAGCGAGCCAATCTATTCCTTTCATAGGTTCTAGGTTCGCAATAGGAAATAAGCAGAAGCTAAGTAAGATATTAACGAATTTCGAACAGAAAAAAATAGTTTTGACTCATCACAGTTTGTTAACGACCACATTTCATATTTAGTAGTATGTTTGTCTAGGGCCAGGAGGGGTTGGCCTGAAATGGGCTGAACACACACAAATGGGCATATTTTTCAGCGGCACACACTAGCGTTGTTTGTGCAGAGATGGCATGTGTCTGTGTATAGGAGACGACAAACTTAACCAAAGTGAAAATAGAAAGCAGTCAAGCAACCTGATATATGCACGTACGTGTCAGGGAAGGAACTAGGCATGGACAACTGCACGTGATGGTATCAGCGATGCCCTCGCGTATAGTCAATGGACGACGCGTTGGTACTTGGCCCACCTGCGCCACTTTCGACCCATGCTCGGCCACCTGCCTTCAAACCGATATAGGGGTCTAAATCTCTCTACCGATTGAGCAATGGCATCCGTGTACCGTAGCCAGCGGGTCCTGTTCTCAAAGAACAAAGCAGCAAAAGACTGAATGAGGCCATTCGCGTTTTCCTGGGAAGTTGCTCCCATGCCAACCGCTCTGTCGTGCTCGATAGTTCTGAACGGTACGCTATTTGCTCGTCCCTACGAACTACTCTGAATAACAGCATTAGATGGGCCTTGAGAAAATGCAAATGAACCTTTTAAAATCGTGTTTCAATTCTAATGTGATGTTTATGGGATTCGCTTATTAGCCAGCAACCGAATAAAAATAGCTCAATATCATAGATTATGCGGATGTGAATAGGTAAATATATCTAGTGTTATATTGGGCTGATAAAGGTAAAATAGTTTTTACTCGCCACTATTATTTGTACTACAAAATGAGATCGATTCTTACAACTGAAAGAAGTCCACGAAGAATTTAAATGAGATCAATGTTAATAGGTAACTGAAAAGATCAAGGCTTATCGAAGTATAAAGCCCATCTAACCATGACCCAATGCAGGTACTATACGCAAACCTATATGCATGTATTGAGTACGTCCTATCATTAACTAGTTACGCTCACAGGTTGCAATAAAACCTTGCAACACATTCGTATAAACGTATACCATTAATTCGATGAAAGCTCTGCTTTGCCACAGTACCATCCTCGATCATATAATGTTTTTCAATGCCTATTCGATAAATTGTTTTTCTCGAAATTTGTTTGCCTCGTTTACTTTCAAAGCTCCGCGTCGAACCTTCCGATGACGCGTAGCAGTCAAGTGACCGGAGCAGGTGGTCACCGCAGATGGACAACAAAGCGAGCGAGCGAGTGCTCACTTCAAGTCTCTCTTCGCTAGTAGTAGTAACAGCAGCAGCAGCAAGAAAGGAAGGGCGGACTGACGAACTGGAGGGGGACGGAACGAGGCAGGGGATGGGGCGTTGGTTGCAGACTACTGGCAGCTGCTGGAACCCTGACGAAGGCAGAGAGGCCGGGCGGATGGAAGCCGCCGCTTTTGCG